GAGATGCATCTCTCCGTAAATGGTTCAAATGTTTCCTTTTCTGGCCTAACTTTTGCAACAAGTAACCATCCCAATTGATAGTAAAGAGAATAACCTTGGGTGGATTTCAACAACTTCTGGCGATCTTTCTCTTAAGGAAGCTTATATATTCAAGTCTCATCATTCCCTCACATTCCATTCGACAAAATCTATTTGGAGTCTCGACATCCCTCCTTCAAAATCATGTTTGGCATCGAGACTCATCAATGAAAAGGTTCCAACTAATGACATGCTTATTGTGATAGGTTGAAACTTACCCTATATATACAATATTTGTCTGAAACATATAAAAACTTCTTTCCATTTGTTTTTTGTTTTCCCATTTGCTGTAAAACTCCAAACATGGTTGACTACAACCATTAGACTAAGCATGTACTTCAACTCTATTGATGAGATCTTAAACATTTGTGATAAGGCTTGTCCTCCTCAGTGTAAGGTAGTGATTTAAGCCTCAATTATCTGCATTCTAAATACAATTTGGCTAGCCAAAAATCAGTCCATGTTTAAGCATAAAGTCTTCCATGGAAATCAACTATCAACGTGTTCATATCTAGTCTCTTTTGTTAGTAATCTGGCAAAGAAATGGGTTGACGTTGCTGAATATGTTCGACGGGAATGACAAAGAAAGGGACATAGGGCCACAGTGGAAGCAAGCTCCAGAAAAAAACCCATTCAGATTGAAGTCGAAGCAAGCTCGACGGACAACCATTCAGATTGAAGTTGAAGCCAAACTGAAATGGGCAAGTTTTGCAATTGAGGAGAACATAGGGAAGTTACAAACAAAGTGGGTGTGCATGGATGAACACATGGCAAGTTGTGAATAGTAGACAACAAAGTAGCAATTATTTTTTATGCCTATTTAAGTAGAATTTAGTTTCGGTTCAAAAGGTCACCTTTTGTAACATTGCAATGAAAACACTCAAAGTACCAGTGTCTAAGAGAAACAAGTTCTTTCTGCACAAATGTATGCATGCGTCCAACTTATATTCAAGCAATTTACTTTATAAGTTTCTTTTTCAATTCATTTTCCTTTCAAGTTTCTTATCTTATTTTTCTCATTTATTTATCTTAGTTGCACGAATGCAAATTCATTCAACCCCTTGCTTACCATTTCAAATCCAAACACTTAAATAACTATTCTATACTAACACTAAGTCTAGGATTTTGTAGTCGATCCTGCAAGTAACCATCAATAAGATGGTAGAGATTGTTTGACAGAAATCCGAGTGAACAGTATGCTAGAATTTGTGTTGTTAACTTGCATGGGCATTTCTAGGTAGTAATATCTGCAGCTATTTTCTTTTGACATTTTTAGCGAGCATTTTACGACCCCTTAGATATATATAAGTAATGAGTTTTTAAATTATTGTAGGAACAAAAAATAATGATGAATGTTCCTTGTAAACACCATATCCAGCAATAAAATTAATTAAGTTATGGTATTTGGATCGAAATCTAGCCTCAACAAGGATAGCTTCATGGTTCGATAGTAGTCAAAGATATGCATGTTGTAGTCGAAGTCTATTCTTGCATGCAGTTTTCTAAGTTAGCTTGTTGTTTAAATTAACATGTTGAATTGAGTCAGTATGTTGGGTCAATTTCTTAGTATATTAGTTAAAACCTAGGGTTTAGTTTTCTTATAAATAGCATATTAGTCATCATTTCTTCATCAATCCCTGATAATCCTGATCAGATGGAGAAAGTGGTGTGCATGAGATTCAATTGTAAACATTGTTCCTTAATATGTAATTGAATTAAGAATCCAGGGTTTTAAACCACTTTGTATTGTTTTTCTTCTCTATTTTCTTTCACTTTGTGGGTTTCTTGCTAATAAAAAATCGATCATACTCTATTTTTTGGGCATCGATTTCATAACAAATTAGTTCGGTGAGCATGGAGAGGAAGATGTCGTCAACAAAGTATGAGATTGAGAAATTCACTTGTATGAATGATTTTATTTTATGGTGCTTGAAGATGCAAGCCCTACTGGTTCAACAGGGTTTATTAGAAGCGTTGAAAGAATCGGAGAAGATGACGATGATCAAGAAAGCACACAATACCATCATATTAAGCCTTGTTGATAAGGTTCTTCGGCAGGTCTTAAAGGAGAAAACGACATCAGGTGTGTTGAACAAACTCGAGGGTTTGTATATTACTAAATCTATAGTAAATTATTTGTATCTGAAGCAAGCTTTGTATTCATTCGAGATGAGTGAAGACAAAGTCTTGTATACGCAACTGGATATGTTTAACAAGTTGGTTATTGATCTTGAGAATATTGAGGTCAATATTGATGATGAAGACCAATCGTTGATGTTATTATGTGCTTTAACAAGATCTCATGCCCACTTCAAAGAAACTCTCTTTTATGGAAGAGTGTCTCTGACCTTTGAAGAAGTTCAACCAGCCTTGTACTCGAAGGATTTGAACGAAAGAAAATAGAAAAGGTCATCATCTATTGAATAAGATTTATCCGTTAAAGGCCAAATAAAGACGTGTTTGAGGAATTATGTGACCAAGATAATGGATTAATGCTGCTGGAAAACAATAGAGCCTGCAAGATTGTAGGAATTTGATCTCTCAGATTCAAGCTCCATAATGAGTCAATAAGGCTATTGACTGATGTCAAGTATGTACTTGATCTTAAGAGGAATTTGATATCTCTTGGTGAATTCAACAAGAAAGAATATATTTTCAAAGGAGTGCAAAGTATCTTAAGAGTAATGAAAGGGTCGAAGGAAGTCTTAAGAGGCATCAAGAGGCAAGGCCTGTATACCGTTGAGGTTGAGGTTGTAAGTGGTTCGGTAGATGTGGCGTCCATAAAACTTGTGTCAAAAACTGAGTTATGGTGCATGACAGTTGGCCATGTCAGTAAAAGAGGTGTGGTAGAATCTTCAAAATAAAATATGTTATCAACCTTGTGTAAATAAAGAACACATGGATCCCTTGATTCTATCCATGATGATCTTTGGGGGCCTGCAAGAAATCCTTCGCACTCAGGTGCAAGATATTTTCTACCCATAGCTGATGATTACTCACGAAAGTCAGGGGTATTCATATAGAAAGCTAAGGAAGGAACTTTTGAAAACTTCAAAAGTTGGAAGATTTTGGTCGAAACCAAGTGGCAGCAAGGTCAAAGGTTGAAGACCGACAATGGTATTGAATTTTGCATTGAGACTTCCGACAACTATTGTGTTGCGTTTGGTATTGCAAGGCACCAAACTATTGCAGGTACTCCCCAAAAAATGGTTTGGATGAAAGGTTTAATCAAACCATTATGGAAAGAGTGAGGTGCATGTTGGTTAGTGCGGGATTAAAGAAGGTTTTTGAGTTGTGGCAGTTATGACTGTCGCTTACCTGACAAATAGGTGTCCCTCGATTACTTTAGGGGTGAAGACGCTTGAAGAAGGTTTTACATGTCATCCATCAAACCTTGACAAACTTAGAGTATTTGATTGTGTAGCACATGCTCACATTAGGCAAGACAAGATCGAACCTAGAACTATGAGATGTATGTTCCTTGGATACCCTAAAAGAGTCAAAGCTTATAGGTTGTAGTGCCTAAAGCCCGGCCAGACGAGGTGTATCATAAGTCGAGATGTATTTTTCAATGAAGTTGAGATGGATTTCAAAAAAACTGATGATGTTAGTCGAAGTACGAAGATCTCTGGAAAAGAGGTGGAACAGGAAGAGATTCATGTTGAGATGGAACATAGTGATATTGAATTGCATAACCCAGATGAAGTCGAAGAGAAGACACAAGTTCTTTATGAAGATAAGGAGACTGATAATGACTACCTGCTGGAAAGAGACAAGTCGAGAAGAGTCATCAAGCGCCTCAAAGACTTGGTTATGCATATCATAGTTTATACCTTAATCTCTATAAGTAAGGTTCTAGATGAAAACCCTAAAGACTATAAGGAAATTATGAGGAGTCAAGACAAGAATGAATGTCTTAAATCCATGTATGATGAGATGAAATATCTTCATGATAATAAGACTTGGGAGCTAATCAAGAAACCTGCAGGGGCCAAGTTAGTTAGTTAAAAGTGGATTTTCAAGGTTAAAGAAGGAATCGAAGGAGTGATGTCGAAGCAATTTAAGGCAAGGTTGTTTGCTACGGGGTTCACTAAAAAAGAAGGAGTCGACTTTAATGATGAGTGCTCACCTATTGTAAATTACATATATCCATTAGAAAGTTGTTAGCCATGGTGGCAAAGTTCGATCTTGATCTTGAACAGATGGATGTAAAGGTAACCTTCCTGTATGGTGATCTAGATGAAACAATCTTGATGAGACAACTTGAAGGGTATGTAGAAAAATGAAAGGAAGATTATGTGTGCAAGTTGAATAGGTCATTAAACGGCCTGGAACAAACTCCTCGACAATAGAATATGAGATTCGACAAGTTCATGACACACATAGGTTTCACTAGGAGCCAATTCGACCACTATGTTTACCTTAGATTTCTACCTGGAAGTTCACTTGTTATTTTGTTGCTTTAAGTGGATGACATCCTCATAGCAAGCAACAGTGTCAAGGATGTTCAACATGAAGGATCTAGGATTTTCCTCAAGGATTCTTCGGATTGACATCCAAAGAGATAGAAAATAATCGAGATTATGTTTATCTTAAGAGACATACCCAAACAAGATTCTCAACAAATTTGGTATGTCGAATTTAAAGTCTGTTGTAACACTGACTAATCCATAGTTCAAGTTAAGTGACTTAAAGTCCTAGTACTAAAGTAGAAAGTGTCTATATGAATAGCATTCTATATTCTAGTATAGTAGGTTCCTTTATGTATGTTATGGTATGTACTAGGCCAGACATAACATATGCAGCGAGCCTTGTAAGTAGGTACATGGCCAATCCTAAAAACGCGCAATGGGAGGATTAGTCCCCATCCGAAAGTAGACAAACCTGGACTTCCTTTGGAATTTAAAGAAAATATTGAACAAATGGGAGGCGTTGAGGTCAAGTTGGTGATTCAGAAGGAACTAACAAATAGTGATGTGACGCAAAACCAGGGTCGTCTCTCCATCCCAAAAGGAAGAGTTAAAGAGAGTTTTTTGACAGCAAGTGAGGAATCATACTTGGATTACGAGCGTAATAAAGATGAGAAGATTCCAGGTATGTATGTATCTATGCTGGATCATAATCTTAACCTATGGGATGAAATATGCTTGAAGAAGTGGAAAATGGAGAAAGCTGAAATCTACAGTATCACCGAAGGATGGAACGAACTTGTAGCAGAAAAAGAATGGAAAAAAGACGAGAAGGTGTTGGTGCAACTTTGGTCTTTCAGACGCAACCACAAGCTCTATTTTGCACTCGTCAAGCTTTAGCAATATCTATCAATCAATATCTGTTTTGAGAATTTTTGTGTCTTGTTTGATTTTAATTTTATTCCTTTATTATTATATTGTGTCTGTATTAATGAAGTAGAAAGCTCGAATATTATGATGAACTAGAAAAAGCATATTAAAGAGAGTTTGATTATCTTAACAAGCCACCGCGTCTAAAGCAAATAGGGCAACAAAACTTGCAGCTCAAGCAATTACAACCTTAATGGTTGGTCGCAAAATCGTAAAGGTTTTTGGTTGATCCAAACATAACAAATTAAGTATACCTTTTACAACAAAACTTGCAGGTGCCATGGAGCACCCTAATCTGTGCTGCCTCTTAGTCGTCTCAGATCATCCTATTCCTGTTCATGGTGAAAACCGAACCAAATTTTGAATCAAATGTTTTTCTTATACGCTACCTAAGAGACTTTACTGTTGAAGTGATTCAAGCACTTGACTCGAACTAATCTTAAATAGTTGAAATATCTGATTTCTGTAACTAATTAAAAAACACATCCAGCAGAGAAGTTGAGTATTAACAAGGATGGTTGTGATCTGAATGTTAGAGTTGCATTTTCTGATATGCTAAAAATCCATGTAATGGCTTAGAACATGGGATATTCAAAAAAACACATTATCTCATGTTTAGGTTAAGTTACATGGATTGGCACATGAGTATTGGTGTCAAAACATCCTATATGTTATTTCCAGTAACATAGGAACACCTATATGCACATGAGTATTGGTATCATATTAAATTATCGTTCATGTTGCAGAGATTTCATGTTATAGAGTAAGAGAGTTATTTTAAATTTTAAATTTTAAATTTTTTAAAAGTCATTTGCTTTATACCAAATTTTCTCATGTCGTAGAATACACAATGAATGATTTAAATTTTCTAAAAAATTTATACCAATTTTGAAAACGAATTATGCTTTATACCAATTTTTTCAATAATCTAATATAAATCATAGATTCATGTCGTTTTTGTTTTCAAATTTCCAATATTAAATTTAATATTAATTATCAAAAAATTGATTTAGAGATATTTAGTAATGTTGATTTTAGATTAGTTAAATAATAAATATATTTGATTTCAAAATTGATCGGTTAGACCAATATGGTTTTAAGTATTAAAAATAGGTCAAATATTATCTTAGAACTGTCAAATAATTCTCAAACACTATCATTTTTTTTTATAATTTACTTTTGGAAAACTAAAAAAAAATCCTTACGAAATACGTTTTTTCAAAAAGAAAAAAAGAACTTGATATCTTAAATCAAAATTTGAAAATTTACTATTAAAATAATTATTAATAAAATAAAAATAAAAAAAGAAAATAATAAATAAATTGGCTTTTAAGCCATCCAACCCAACACGTGGATTAGGACCAAAATTTAAGGGTGAAAGTTTGTTAGTTATTTAAAGACCATTTCACTTAATTCAGAAAAATAACAAACTTACATTTTAAATATGATTTTTCATGTTTTCATTTTTAAAATAGTTTTTAAAAATAGAATTTCCAAACAATTTTTTATTTTATAAAAATTTAATTTAATTTCTATACTATCATTCTTTCACAATTTAGTCTTTAAACTATTATAATTAGAATGAAATAATAATTTAAAAATATTTTAATTATTTTAAAAATAATTTATAGATTAATTGATACGAAAGTAAGAATATACAAACTAAATTAATTATTTGATAGTGATAGAAAACACTCACTAAATAAATTTTTTTAAATTAATTTTAAAGAGAGAATTTAGTTAGAACATAGTGCATAGATTTTGCCACTCTTTACCGATGAGTATATTAAAAAAATAATAATGATAACAACCTTTTCAATAAGGAAAACAAACCTAGAGATAAATTTGTTAAATAACAAATTCATCTTTTAAATCTTATCTTTTTTTAATAATTTGAAATCAATTTGTTACATTGAAACAAACAATAATCTCAATTTGTCTATAAATTAGTATATATTAATTCAGGAACATACACTTGCATTGAGTCTTCATCAATTTCAAGATTATGGAAGAATGTGATTTTGCTTCTAGAATATTAGAGGAATTTGATAGTGATGACTGTTTGATGATTGAAAACTTATTAGGTTTACGATCTGAGTCTTTGGCAAATCAATTCAAAAGTGACGCTTCTGCTGTACTTCATTCAAATAATCGACAATATGGTCCTATTACAGAGACAATAACAATCAATAATCACGAGGTTGCTGCTGCTACAAGTGCTTCTGATGATGTTCTTCATTCAAAGAATCGACAGTGTGCTACTGCTTCGGAGACAATAATAGAAAATAATCATGAGGTTGCTGCTGGTACAAGTGTTGCTAAAATTGATGCTTCTGATGATGTTCTTCATTCAAAGAATCAACACTATGCTTTTGCTTCGGAAACAATAACGAGATTCAACAATTCTAATGTAAAGAATAATGAGATGAGTAATGAGGAATTCAAGAATCCTGACGTTAAGAATAAGAAGATAACTGCTGAGGATGCTGTTGGTGGAAGTGTTCGCAAAATAACATTTAAAATAAAACGAAGCGATCCATCGCTGAAATTTGTTTATGGAAATTCTAATACAAAGAATGACGAGACAGCTACCGAAAAATTCAACAATTCTGGACTAAAGAATAATGAGACAAGTACTAAGGAATTCAAGAATTCATATGTAAAGAACAACGAGACGACTGCCGAGGAACTCAACAATCCTAATACAAAGAATAACGAGACAACTGCTGGGGAATCGTTGTTTGACGAGAGTTCCAACACAAAAGTCAAGAAAAGAAAGGCAAATAAGAAAAAATCAGGTGAGCCTTCAAATAAACAAAAGAAGAAAATCAATACCAATGGAAGGATTAGTCCCCATCCGGAAGTAGACGAACCTGGACTTCCTTTGGAATTTAAAGAAAAGATTGAACAAATGGGAGGCGTTGAGGTCAAGTTGGTGATTCAGAAGGAACTAACAAACAGTGATGTGACGCAAGACCAGGGTCGTCTCTCCATCCCAAAAGGAAGAGTTAAAGAGAGTTTTTTGACAGCAAGTGAGGAATCATACTTGGATTACGAGCGTAATAAAGATGAGAAGATTCCAAGTATGTATGTATCTATGCTGGATCATAATCTTAACCTATGGGATGAAATGTGCTTGAAGAAGTGGAAAATGACGAAAGCTGAAATCTACAGTATCACCGAAGGATGGAACGAACTTGTAGCAGAAAACGATTGGAAAAAAGACGAGAAGGTGTTGGTGCAACTTTGGTCTTTCAGACGCAACCACAAGCTCTATTTTGCACTCGTCAAGCTTTAGCAATATCTATCAATCAATATCTGTTTTGAGAATTTTTGTGTCTTGTTTGATTTTAATTTTATTCCTTTATTATTATATTGTGTCTGTATTAATGAAGTAGAAAGCTTGAATATTATGATGAACTAGAAAAAGCATATTAATGAGAGTTTGATTATCTTAACAAGCCACCGCGTCTAAAGCAAATAGGGCAACAAAACTTGCAGCTCAAGCAATTACAACCTTAATGGTTAGTCGCAAAATCGTAAAGGTTTTTGGTTGATCCAAACATAACAAATTAAGTATACCTTTTACAACCAAACTTGCAGGTGCCATGGAGCACCCTAATCTGTGCTGCCTCTCAGTCGTCTCAGATCATCCTATTCATGTTCATGGTGAAAACCGAACCAAATTTCGAATCAAATGTTTTTCTTATACGCTACCTAAGAGACTTTACTGTTGAAGTGATTCAAGCACTTGACTCGAACTAATCTTAAATAGTTGAAATATCTGATTTCTGTAACTGATTTAAAAACACATCCAGCAGAGAAGTTGAGTATTAACAAGGATGGCTGTGATCTGAATGTTAGAGTTGCATTTTCTGATATGCTAAAAATCCTTGTAATGGCTTAGAACATGGGATATTCAAAAAAACGCATTATCTCATGTTTAGGTTAAGTTACATGGATTGGGACATGAGTATTGGTGTCAAAACATCCTATATGTTATTTCCAATAACATAGGAACACCTATATGCACATGAGTATTGGTATCATATTAAATTATCGTTCATGTTGCATAGATTTCATGTTATATAGAGTAAGAGAGTTATTTTAAAATTTAAATTTTAAAATTTTTAAAAGTCATTTGCTTTATACCAAATTTTCTCATGTCGTAAATTCATGTCGTAAAATACACATAGAATGATTTAAATTTTCTCAAAAATTTATACCAATTTTGAAAACGAATTATGCTTTATACCAATTTTTTCAATAATCTAATATAAATCATAGATTCATGTCGTTTTTGTTTTCAAATTTCCAATATTAAATTTAATATTAATTATCAAAAAATTGATTTAGAGAGATTTAGTAATGTTGATTTTAGATTAGTTAAATAATAAATATATTTGATTTCAAAATTGATCGGTTAGACCAATATGGTTTTAAGTATTAAAAATAGGGCAAATATTATCTTAGAACTGTCAAATAATTCTCAAACACTATCATTTTTTTTTTATAATTTACTTTTGGAAAACTGAAAAAAAATCCTTACGAAATACGTTTTTTCAAAAAGAAAAAAAAAACTTGATATCTTAAATCAAAATTTGAAAATTTACTATTAAAATAATTATTAATAAAATAAAAATAAAAAAAGAAAATAATAAATAAATTGGCTTTTAAGCCATCCAACCCAACACGTGGATTAGGACCAAAATTTAAGGGTGAAAGTTTGTTAGTTATTTAAAGACCATTTCACTTAATTCAGAAAAAAAACATACTTACATTTTAAATATGATTTTTCATGTTTTCATTTTTAAAATAGTTTTTAAAAATAGAATTTCCAAACAATTTTTTATTTTATAAAAATTTAATTTAATTTCTATACTATCATTCTTTCACAATTTAGTCTTTAAACTATTATAATTAGAATGAAATAATAATTTAAAAATATTTTAATTATTTTAAAAATAATT